GCAAACCCATTTTAATATTAATGAACAGAAGTGGGGGGAATTAATATTACCTCCATGATCTATAAAACTAGTAAAAAGATGCCCCCCCCCCTTTACATGCATGGTACTGGAATGTTAATCTGTTTTAGCAGTTGCACATATGGAACAGAAGTTAGAACTTCTTCCCCTGAATTAGATGTAATTACATTTTAAACACCATTCAGGTAGTGTTGTTGTATTGGTGGGTCATCTAATATTGCTTTTTAAATGCTACATTGCTACTGGAGTCTGTAAACTTCAGATTATATGGCAAATGAAATAATATTTTTAGAAAATATGTCAACAAAATTAGTCCCATTGATCGCAGTGCTTCTCATCCAGCTCCACTACATGATCAGTTTGCCCCAGCTTTTGTGCTAGGTAAATATATAAGGATAAGCTTGTCGATTTCTTACTTACTTACTAAAGTCCAGCTTTTGTGCTAGGTAAATATATAAGGGTAAGCTTGTCCTTACTTACTAAAAATTTACTGTGGTATTAAGTTTTTGTGAACAGCATCAGATGTAAGAAGTGTGTCCTATATTGGAACACATATGTATGTGTTTACAAATATAAAATTACAAAATCAGATAAGTGGTTTGGAGGGCCCAGGTAGAATCTTTGTCTGGGGACCCACGATTCCTCTCAGCAGCCCTGTCCCATTCTTAGCTGAAGCCTTGGTAACACTTGCACTTGGCATTTTAAGCTGACCATCTTTACTCCCTGATGGAGATCCATCTCATAACAAATATAAAGATATTTCTAGTATTCATCAGGCAGGCTTAGTCTAAGATAGGCTTGACTTCAGAGGCATGGAATTTTTCAGTGTACAAATTTTGGAAATGATTGTTGTTTTCCTACATTTGCCAGTGTTTAAGTGTACCTCTGTCTTTACAACTCGAAGAAGTAAGAGTTTTATTGTTCATGGCAAGCAATAGAAATTTGGATCTGAATTGAATTGTGTGTCTTCCTGTTAGTGTGTTAACAGTCTCCTCCTTTCTCTGTTAAAGCGCTCTCCTTCCTGTATTCCAGCTCACAAAGGCAGACGTGTAAGAGGATGTCTTGCTGTGTGTGGCCTTTTAATTTTGCTGATAATGCACATGTGTTTGTTTAATGTAGACCATTTTTGTTGATGCTCTTTATGGCTTGCATATTTACCTTGTTGCTTGTCTTGTGCTACTGCTGCTGTGCTCCTCCTCTTGTACTTTTTCTTGCATTTAAAAATGAAAGGCTTTGACACTGTATGTGACATGTTTGTCTTTAATGTTGAACTCCTGGTTCTAGACTGTCACAGAGACAAGAAGATGACACTACACAACTTGAAGCTGTTAGAACTAAACAGATTGCAGCACATGATTATTCACAGAATTAAAATATTCCCGTGTTTCCCACAGGAATCACTGGTAGCTATAGCAGTCAAAGGAAAGTTTTAGTTGGAGAGAACTAATTTAATTACTTATATAGCCACTGGACTTAAACTCATGATCTTAAATCAGTAAGAGTCCAGTAGCACCTTAAAGGCTAACAAAATATGTGGTAAGGTATGAGTTTTTGTGAATTGCTGCTCACTTATTCAGATAGGGTTACCATCCCCCTGATGGGGGCGGGGGTTTACCACTTGGGGGGGGCTCAATCCGCTGCCAGTCAGCTGTCTGGTGGGGGAGCCTTGCCCCTGAGCAGCCTCATCCATGCCAACGTGCCCGGTGTGAGGTGATGTCATCGCGCAGGGCACATTGCGGGGGAAGATGCTCTAGCAGCCAAGAAAAAATTCTATGGTAACCGCTCTCTTGCAATCTTAATTGAAGCAGCCCCCCTCAGCTTGCACTGTGAGTGGGATATATTTTTTCATGGAAATATATTTCTGACCATAAATTGCTCTTGGTGGATCGAAGAAAAGTACTGAAGACTAACTCAGTGAGTGTAGTAGTGCTCTCAAATTTCAGTATCCCACTGAATAAATAAGTGTCAGCACTGAGGTTCCTGGAAGATTTTCTTTCTCCCCAACTAAAAAGAAATCTGCAGAAAGCCATTTTCAGTACAGCTATGATGGGGAGTGTCTGCAAGCACAGTAAAAATCTCTGCTATCTGTTATTGTCTTTTGGATTCAAGGACTGGGACGGCCCTGTACAGGGCTGCTGGATGTGTAGGCCTGTGAACCTTCACAAAGCACATGTGAATGAGAAACCTGATTCCATATGTTGGTTTTTGCTTACCTGGGCCTATTGTTTCATAGATATTAAAAATATACTTATTACTATAAGGAAAGGAATAGAAGGCAGTTTTGTTAAACCATACATTTGTATACTTAACGCACCCATAACATTACATCTGCTCCCTGCAACGGAAAATATACTTATTACTATAAGGAAAGGAACAGAAGGCAGTTTTGTTAAACCATAAATTTGTATACTTACGCACCTGTAACATTACATCTGCTCCCTGCAACGCTGTCACAAATATATGCATGTGATGTGGCGCTTGTCTACAGTGTATGTGGCCAGCCTCCTCAGAGACTTCAGACATGGTAGCCAAAAGATAAGAAAGCTGTTAACAGTGTCTCCTCTAAGTGTCCAGTAATCACTCATAGTCCATGAACAATAAATGATGATTTTTAAAATGGGTCCTTTTACTGTAAACTATGGGTTGGATCTGCTCTGTTAATGGTGGAGCCTTTTGCCAGCAGAACATGCCTTTTCCACTGGAGCAAGGTTTCATTAGCAGAACAGAACGTTTGAATCTAACCCTGTGCTTATATTATTAAGAAAAGGAATATAATTTCTGATACTTGGAGGGCATGAATTTGTTTCTTATACATCTGAGCATAGAGAAGAATTTCTGCTCGTGATGGCTGCAATGCTTGGAACAGCTTGTATATGTAGCAAACAGGTGTATTGATAATATACCATTTGATTATTTCATAGCTGTCAGATTAATCACAAACCTTTCTTACCTTTTAAAGGAACGGAACATTTTTGTCTCAATTGCTATTTTGCCTAATCTAAGCACGAAAAAGAAGAAACCAATGTTAGATTGACAAGAAAATTTTGCATACACCTGTTCTCTACTATGAATTTATTTAAATGGCAAATGTATATACATATTGAAGAAAGTTACCTGAATGTACCCTGTCTCCTAGTATGATGTTTGTGATCTCAGAGACAACAAATCTATCTCCAGCACATTTATAAAATATAAATGAATTACAGTGCATATAATTTAAAGATCTTTGGCTCATCAAAATTGCAACTGACAGTCTTTTCAAAAAAGAGTAAATAAATAACTTTGATAGGAAAGTGTAATTTCCTCTCTGTGTGAATTGATGCTCTCTATGTCTCTTACTGAGAGAGGAAAAGAACAGTCACTATGCAAGTTGTAATGCAACTAAAGGGATTTAACTAACTTATTTCAAAGATAATTTAAACCAGGCAAGAAAAATATTTTGTATAACAAGAAAAGATGCAAGTTTCTCTATAGTGTTTTTAACATCATCTTTATAATTAGTATTGTCAGAATTTTGTCCACGAACACCACTTTGCAAAATGTTTAAATGCAATAATGATAATAGTAAAAATGATTTGATTACAAAATGATTTATTAAAATTCTGCTACCAAAAAGAATGTATCTCATTATTTACCTGTAGACTAGGATATTCTAGCTTTTTCATATTGCTTGACAGCTACAGGCCATTATAGTTCTCCTAAACGATATATGAGTAAGGTCTGGACTATATAATACATTAACTAGACTTTTTTACCTTCTCCTAGTCTGATTCCCTTTCCTCTCAGCCAGATGGCCACTGGGGGTAACATATTTTCCCACCTGCCCATATGATCCATTTCGCTGTCTTCTCAAGCTGCAGTTAAGTTCCTCACAGCTGCCACCTGTTTGTGGGGAAAGTGATTCAGGTCACAAGAAACTTTACTCTTTAAAAAAAGTAGTAGTCCATGTAGTATGGCCATAATTATTTAGAACATACTTATGCAAAATACATTCATTAATCATCATGGCACACAATAATAATAATAATAATAATAATAATAATAATAGGTTGGATTCTAAGGTGTCCATGCTCTTTAGAGGGTGCACAGGTTTTATAGATTTGCCCCTCAAGATGCAACTTTTCCATATTGCATCCAATGAAGATGTTCAGGATCCCCCCAAGCCTCAACAGCAGCTGCAGGTAGGGATCCCAAGTCCCCCGGGGGGCGGGGAAAACCCCGCCCCAGAGGCCCGTTTCCCGGCGGCGGCGCATCGGGCCCCGGGGAGAACTCCGCCCCGACGTGCATGTCACCCGGAAGTGACGGGAGGACGTCAGGCACGCTGGGGGCGGGGCCACAGCCATACAAGGGAAAACCATGGCGTCCTCCCATCACTTTGGGTTAAGTGCATGTGGTGCGCGCGCAACAGACACCGGCCGAGAGCCCCCCGCTTCCGGCGAAGATCCACTTGGCAACCCTTGCTGCAGGAGACTTGGGAAGTGGAAGATGTCCCTTCTGCAACAGAAAAAGCACACTGATTTAGAATCTATATTTATTGTATTTATTTGCAGAACTTTGGTTTAGCTCTCTAACATAAAAGTAGAAGCATCTTAAAAATATCCCCTGCTGTCCATCACCTTTTAAAGAACCTTTTAAGCCTTTTATAATTAGTGTAGTAGTAAAGCCCCAGTCATATGTAAACATAACCACAGGCTTGATTTTATATCATTCACTGCCCATCCTAATTACCAACAGCTATAAATTTAGGTTGGATTTTACTGATCCCTGCCGGAGAAACCAATGCAATGTGCTTGTTTCAACTCAAATGCTTTGTATTTGGGTGCCAGATTATTACTTACTGTTATCTTTTTTTAAGCGTAATATAAATCCCTATCTGTATTTCTGTGTCATCCCCCCCAAAAAAGATAGCAGATTATCAAAAGTGGCTTCTTAATCTTTTTCTGTTCATTTTGTTTGTTTCTTTCCTTTGGTTATTTTTTTAGATTGATTCTGTTGAAAATTTTACCTTATCTAATATGCCTTCACGGGATGAAGATATCAAGTGTCACCTTCATTCAAGATCTAGGTCCCCTTCCACAGCTAGTGACATTGAACCAATTGAGGTACTATTAACAATGAGAACATCTGCTTAAAAATTCGTTGTCCTGTAGTGCCAGATAGGTACAAATTTGAAATAGTGTGTCTTTTAGGCAACTTTTTGCTGTGAAATACACTCCATTACAGAAAGAGGTCCACAGAAAGAATAAAGTACCATTTTATGTTTTTGAATATGATATAAGGCTGCTATAAGGTAAAAAATTCTGTTTCACCCACTGCTACAAAAGACTGAAGCTGGGAATAGCTCTGAATTTACACATAGAATTTGCGTAGGTCTGTGACAGTGGCTCCGTTTCATACAGTTGTTTTCAGATATGCACATCTCTTAAGAATACACCTAAAAATGTAAAATAAGACTGTAACACATGTATCATATAGGTACACTCATCAAGCAGCAGAGATTAGATCTCGCTCTCTCTTGAATATACATTCAGTACCATATAATATGTGAACTTGTCCTGAGTATAAAAGCAGTGGAAGATGAAACATGGTTCTGGCTAGTTCAGGTCAGGTGAACTGTTGCTGCTGCTGCTGCTGCTGCTTCTTTTCAGGCATTACCAGTTGCAGCTGGGATGGAGCATTGCTTCATTTGCTTTCCCTCTATTTGCTGCTGCTTCTGTTTTTTCTGTGATGCTAAGCCTTGCCAAAATATCTTTATAACATGACCTCTGGGTGTTTTTCTTTTTGCGCTTCTTTTGGCTTCTGTATCAATCTGTTCCATCATTCCTGTACAAGCCTACAAAGGCAGATTCTACAATTAGGCCACAATTCAGAAAAACTTAAAGAGGCCTTTTACACTGCTAAATCAGACAAATGGTCCATCTAATCAAAAATCCTGTTTGCCACAGTGGCTGTCAGATGTCCTGGAAGGCTCTCAAATAGTGGACAGAGGGAAACAAAAGCCTCCCCTGTAGTTGCCACTCAGCAGCTGGTATTCAGAGGTATATTACATCTGAACGTAAAGGCTTAATTTAGCCATCATGGTTAACAGCCACTGAATTCTTTCATGAATTAGACTAATCTTTTCTTTAAACTAGCAGAATTAGTAATCATCACTCCATCCTGTGGCTGCAAGTTCCACAAGCCAATTATGCATTGTGTGAAGGAATATATTTGTCCTTCATCAAGCTGAATGGATCATAAGAACATAAGAGAAGCCAATGTTGGATCAGGCCAATGGCCCATCTAGTCCAACACCCTGTCACACAGTGACCAAAAATACCAGGTGCCATCAGGAGGTTCACCAGTGGGGCCAGGACACTAGAAGCCCTCCCATAGCAGATGACACGGTCAGATCAACCATTTTTTCTACTGTGCATCCACAGGTATAATGCTCCTTGAAGTCATTTCATGGATGCAGAATGTTACATCTGCCCAAATTATACAAAACTTGATTACTGGAGCAGTTTGTTTTTGAGATGGCTTGTAATGATACCTAACTAATTTTTACTATATGTGTCTTTAGGTTTCAGATCATCCTGTGCGTCCTGTTCACACACCAACCACAAGATCACCATATATTGGTTCAGGACTTTCTGTGCCAAAGGTACGTTAAAAATTCTGTCAGGCAGGTATTCCAGAACCATAGTAGCATCTGTTCTTTAAAAGTGTCATCATGAGCTAATGCCTCCTGCATTTCGGCATTAGACATTAGGATACGGATGTCACTGCCACCAAGAGCCAAACTTGGCATGACAGAAGATAGACAAGGCAGAAACTAGGCACGACAGAAGCATTTAACACATGCCTTCCAGAAATGTAGAAATACATGCCTCACAGTAGGTTTCTGCATTTTTTTGCATTTTGTAAGTTAAGAGTAAGTTCTCTTAAAAACTTCAAAGCTTCTTTGACAGAGGAATGCCTCTAAAGGAAAGAGACTGAGTAATTTTCTGGCCAAATGTTTCTAAGCATAATTATTAATCATCTGAATAACAATAGATATAGCAGGAAAGAAACCAAAATTATGTTTGTTCATCACCAAATGGGTGTCACTGCTAAAGGAGGCAAATTTCAAAGTTAGGTTTCTAAACAGTCCTGTCTTGGATACTTAGCCACTGAGGCAACATGACTGTCCACTGTGTACAAATCAGAATTTTCAAACTGTTTTGCAGGCAATCCTGTGCAATTACTCCACTCTGGGCTTGTTTAAATCATTAGATTACTGTTTAGTTCACAGGATAAGGAATAAATAATAACTGAAATATTTTAAGATGTGACAGCAGGCAGGGTTTTGTGTACAACCGTCGCTACATCAGACTTTTAGTCTAACATCTGCCATTTGTATTTATCATTTTTGTTAGCAAAGAATCTGCGCCTAACCTGTATCATTTTGTTTCACAGCCTAAGGCCCATCAGTTTGTAGTGAAATCCTTTAATACCCCGACAAAATGTAATCAATGCACATCTTTGATGGTTGGTTTAATAAGACAGGGATGTACTTGTGAAGGTAAGACTAACAAATATAAAACCATCTTTATTTATACTGAAAACTATGGAGCCAGTTTTGCTATATCACAAGTAAACAGTAGTGAATCTGTCCTGTAGATGTTTAAAACACATAGTTCTTCTTGGTACCAAAATATAATAGGGACATACCACAGAAATGAATATGAGAAGATTTCATTTATCTCGCTTGAGAACGTGATTTAGTAGGGAGCCTTTATATCTGTAGGTCACACAGGAAACTGATTTATTCACTGTAAAAAATTGTGTAATTTAGTGGTGAGTTGAAACCAATATTGTTTTCATATAGCCTGTTGTTTCTGATTTTTTCTGATTTTGGGCATCCCTTGAACAGCATTAGTTAATTTTAATAGCAGCTATGAAATCTCCAGAGAAGCTGTGAAGACTGAGCAGGATGCCCACTTTGAGGTCACATTCAGCTAAAGCTGAATTACAACTCTGGAATGGGTGTGGTACCTGTATTGTTAGCTTATCCACCACCTTCCACAAAGTAAACACTGAAATACTTGAATAGGTCATATATATATATACAGAAGTCAGACTTTCCCTTTGGAAGCTACAGAATCTTGAGGCACCCTAAAGACTAATATATTTATTGTGACATATGCTTTTGTGAGACAAACCTTGACTTCAGATAGAAGCAAGTACTCACAAAGGCTTTTGATGCAATAAATTAATTAGTTTAAGGTGCCAAAGACTTTTATTTTGGGTGCAGCAGACTTAATGTGGCTGCCTTTAAGAAATTAAGTTTCTATTAATGAACAAAAAAGGACATGTTTGAAGTATAAATTTTATTTCCCCCCCAGTATGTGGATTTTCATGCCATGTGACCTGTGCAGATAAGGCACCAGCAGTATGTCCTATCCCATCTGAACAGACAAAGGGTCCTTTGGGGATTGACCCACAGAAAGGCATAGGAACTGCTTATGAAGGGCATGTCCGAGTAAGTAATGGAAAATTCAGTTTCTCAGCTTGACGGTAGTATCTTCTTGTTCAGCTAAATGAGTAAATTAAAGTGAAACATGGTTCCATTGGTTGAGAGGCTTCATTTCTCATTGCTTTTGTGAGGATGTAAATGACAGCAACAAGAGAGACCATTGCACAGTAGATATTGTAAAGTTCATTTGAATCTTTTGTGGTATTGTTGTCCATATTATTATTTCAGCATAAATGTGATGTAGGGCAGGTCAGCACTACAAATAGGTACAAGTTAACTGTCATCCCACTCATCATCTGGTACAAAATGTTGAACAAGACTCTGTCAGGGATCAGCCACTTGGAATTTATAACTCCAGTGCTTCCTGTTTGCTTCCTGATCCAGTTTAAAGTGCTGGTTATTAGCTGTTGTAGATTTTCCGGGTTGTTATTACTGGTTATTGCTGGTTATTACTTTTAAAAGCCCTTTACAGCCTAAGGCCCTCACCACATCTCATGGACATATTCCAGCATATCATCTGTGTTCTTGAGACCATCTCCTTCTTAAGGTGTCCACTTGCAGGAGGATGCCTGTTTGGCAACACTCAGGTTGCAGATATTTTATGTGACAAGACCAGTCCTTTGGTATGGCCTACCAGAGTAGATGCAAAGGGCCTCTCCACTCTCTGCATTCAGGAAAGCATGTAAAAAGATCTTACTTCAAAAGGCATTTAGTAGAGGTGTTATTTTAGCAGATCTGGCTATACTATTTTATCTCATGTGCTGTCTTTTTATCTTGCTGATGGATTGTTTTATTGTGTTTTATGCATTTGCAATTTGTTGTTGTTTTGTTGTAGCCACCTCAGGTCTAAGGGGATAAGGCAGGAGATATAGATATAGTGTGTGTGTGTGTGTGTGTATACACACACATAGTTACATATATAGATATATATAAATAAATAAGAACTCTGCAGTTTTTTGAAAGGTCAAGGGATCTCTAATAAGCAGATCTCTGCAACTTCAAACTACAGCGACACCAGTGACCAGGCAGTTAAACCAGCTTGTTTTTTTAATAAAAATAATTAAATCAATTTTGTTACAGGTCCCTAAACCAGCCGGAGTGAAGAAAGGGTGGCAGAGAGCATTGGCTGTTGTCTGTGACTTCAAGCTCTTCCTTTATGATATTGCAGAAGGAAAAGCATCCCAGCCCAGTGTGGTAGTGAGTCAGGTTCTTGATATGAGGTAAGAAGCGTCATGTGATTTTGTTGCTGTTGTTTCTATACCAAAGACAGTAAATGTCTTTTTGAGTTCTTCAGAGTTATATTTTTTTGGAAGTATATTTATGGAAGTGTCCGTGTCTTGCTAAAGATAGACAAGAAGCAAAAGTAAAAGGTGACAGAACTAGAATGAGAAGTCTAAAAGCAGCGTTCCAGATACTGGCATACAGAGAAAAAGAGAACCATTATAATAGCCAGTGTAAACAGCTAGAAGAGAACAACAAAAAAGGAAGAACAAGATATGTGTTCCAAAAGATCCAAGGAATCAAAGGGAAATTTAAAGCACAGTTAGGCATGATGAAAGCAACAAATCAGCAGGAGTAGATGGGATATCAGTAGAGCTCTTCCAAGCCACAGAAATGGAGTGCATCAAAATCTTAACAAGAATATGCCAATAAATATGGAAAACAAAACAATGGCCCAAATACTGGAAGCACTCAATCTACATTCCAATTCTGAAGAAAGGAGACATCAAAGACTGCAGCAATTATTGGACTATTGCACTAATTTCTCATGCAGGTAAAGTGATGCTCAAAACCTTACAACAAAGATTGTTACTACATATGGAACAAGAAATGCCAGATGTTTAAGCTGGATTCAGAAAAGGAAGTGGCACTAGAGATCATACTGCAAATTTACATTGATTACTGGAGGATACAAGATAATTCCAGAAGAAAATCAAGTTGTAGTTTTGACTGTGTGGATCATGAAAAGTTATGGTTGCTTTCAAAAGAAATGAGTGTGGCACAACATCTGATTGGTTTGATGTGCAACCTGGACTCCAGACAAAAGGCTGCTGTTGGGACAGAATATGAAGAACCAGAATGAATCATAGAATTATAGAATCACAGAGTTGGAACGGGCCATACAAGCCATCTAGTCCAACCCCGGGATCAGTGCGGGATCAGCCTAGAGCATCCCTGAAGTGTTTGTCCAGCCGCTGCTTAAAGACTGTCAGTGAGGGGGAGCTCACCATCTCCCTAGGCAGTTGATTCTGCTGTTGCACAACTCTTGCTGTAAAAAAGTTTTTCCTAATATCCAGCCAGTACCTTCCTACCCTTAATTTGAGCCCATTATTGCAAGTCCTGTCCTCTGCTGCCAACAGAAAGCTCCCTGCCTTCCTCTAAGTGACAGCTCTTCAAATTCTTAAAGAGAACAATCATGTCCCCCCAACCTCCTCTTCTCCAGACTAAACATTCCCAAGTCCCTCAGCCTTTCCTCATAGGGCTTGGTTTCCAGGCCCCCGATCATCCTCGTAGCTCTCCTCTACAGCCACTCCATTCTGTCCACATCCTTTTTGAAGTGAGGCCTCCAGAATTGTACACAATACTCCAGGTGTGGCCTGACCAATTCAGTATACAGCAGGACTATGACATCTTGCAATTTAGATGTTATTCCTCTGTTGATACAACCCAAGATCACATTAGCTGTTTTTGTCATTGCATCACACTGGCTGCTTATATTTAACTTTTGGTCCACCCATACCCCAAGATCTTGTTCACACACACAGTTACTCAGAAGTGTATCCCCACATCCAGTATGCATGTTCCTAATTTTTGTTACCCAGATGTAGAACTTGGCACTTATGGTTGAACTCTATCTTCTGGTGTGTTCACTGGTCCTCCCAATTTTGTGTCATTTGCAAATGACATGGCTGGGAAACCAAATTCAGGGATCAATGAGTAGCCCCTCCACACCCACATCCAGATCATTTATAAAAATATTGAAAAGTACTGGGCCCAGAACTGAGCCCTGTGGCACCCCACTGGACACCTCCCTCCAGTCAGATGAAATGCCACTGACAACTACTCTTTAAGTGCGGTTCTCCAACCAGTTCCCTATCCACCTAACTACCCTAGAGTCCAATCCACAGCCCTTTAGTTTACCTATCAGAACATCATGGAGAACCCTATCAAAAGCTTTACTGAAATCCGGGTAAACAACATCAACAGCATTCCCTCGATCCAATGAGCTCATCACTCAAAAGAAGGAAATGAGGTTGGTCTAGCAGTACCTGTTGGGGACAAATCCATGGTCACTTCCCCGGATCACCAAGTTGTCCTTTAGGTGCTCACAGATTGATCCCTTTAAAATCTGCTCCAGTATCTTCCCTGGGACAGAGGTCAGACTGACTGGCCTGTAGTTTCCTGAGCCATCCCTCCTCCCTTTTTTGAAAATTGGGATAGCATCTGCCCTCCTCCAGTCTTCAGAAATATCCAGCCAGTACCTTCCTACCCTTAATTTGAGCCCATTATTGCAAGTCCTGTCCTCTGCTGCCAACAGAAAGCTCCCTGCCTTCCTCTAAGTGACAGCTCTTCAAATTCTTAAAGAGAACAATCATGTCCCCCCAACCTCCTCTTCTCCAGACTAAACATTCCCAAGTCCCTCAGCCTTTCCTAATAGGGCTTGGTTTCCAGGCCCCCGATCATCCTCGTAGCTCTCCTCTACACCCACTCCATTCTGTCCACATCCTTTTTGAAGTGAGGCCTCCAGAATTGTACACAATGCTCCAGGTGTGGCCTGACCAATTCAGTATACAGCAGGACTATGACATCTTGCAATTTAGATGTTATTCCTCTGTTGATACAACCCAAGATCACATTAGCTGTCATTGCATCACACTGGCTGCTTATATTTAACTTTTGGTCCACCCATACCCCAAGATCTTGTTCACACACACAGCTACTCAGAAGTGTATCCCCACATTCAGTATGCATGTTCCTAATTTTTGTTACCCAGATGTAGAACTTGGCACTTACCCTTGTTAAATTTCATCTTGTTCACATCTGCCCACATTTTCTGATGTGTTTGCTGCTTCTCCCAATTTGGTGTTATCTGCAAATTTAATGAGTAGCTCCTCCATACCTTCATCCAGATCATTTATAAAAAATCCTCCTTGAGTCCATCAATAGAACCTTGGCGGGAAATTCAAACCCTCCAATGGGACCATAGGTGCGCCAGGTGGAGTGTATATAGTTGGCCTTGCAGGGCCGTTGTAGTCATTCTTGTTGTGAAGTACAATAAACACGTCTGAACGCATGTCGTAGTCCGAGCATTCCATGCGGCGAACCCAGTACTTTACAAAAGCGTTACTGAAATCCAGGTAAACGACGTCAACCGCATTCCCTCGATCCGGTAAGCTTGTCTCTCAATCAAAGAAGGAAATGAGGTTGATCTGGCAGGACCTGTTGGGGACAAATCCATGCTGACTTCTCCAGATCACCAAGTTGTCCTTTAGGTGCTCACAGATTGATCCCTTTAAAATCTGCTCCAGTATCTTCCAGTATCTTCCCTGGGACAGAGGTCGGACTGACTGGCCTGTAGTTTCCTGAGCCATCCCTCCTCCCTTTTTTGAAAATTGGGATAGCATCTGCCCTCCTCCAGTCTTCAGACTTCACATCATCAGTATTATAACTAGATTTACGGAACTTAAATACCATATCGAAGCATGGGTTTCAGCCTAGTCAGATATAAGTGAATATATTTAAACCAATCAGATAGAAGTACAATATGACTGTGGACTGTTCTTGTTAAATTGAAAATCAAATCGATTTGACACAGGTTCCATTTCTGTATTGTAATGATATAGACTTATACTATAATATGAGCATTTTAAGCTTTCAAAAATCCAATAAACCTCTATTCTCTGATAAGCAATTTTTGTTTTTCCACAGGGATGAAGAATTCTCAGTGTGTTCAGTCTTGGCTTCTGATGTCATCCATGCAAATCGAAAAGATATTCCCTGTATCTTTAGAGTAAGTGTTATATGTTATGGTTGAAACGTGTTGCTTAAAAGTAGAAGTAAGCTAAATGTATCTTTTTCATTTGCTTTTCAGTTTGACTATTGTTCTAAAGGTAGCTCTATTTTTATTTTACTTCTTTGTACCCCCTTGAAATGTCTCTTTTTATTGTCATGTGCAGGATACTAGAAGGAAAAGTGCAAAAGCTGCCGAAGATTGACTGTTACTGCTCTGGGGAAAAAATCCAGTCCCAAAGCTAGACCACTATGTGCAGTGCATGGAAGTTCCCACAGGAATAAACAGCTTTGAAAGGGATTAAATAGATTCATGGAGGATAAGTCTATCAATGGCTACTAGCCATGGTCACTAAGCCTCTAAATCCCAGAGCCAGGAGGCAACATCAGGGGAAGGCCTTAGCTTCTATGCCCTGCTTTTGGCCATTCAGAGGAATTGGTTGGCCACTGTGTTAAACAGAATGCTGGACTAGATGAAACATTGGTCTGATCCAGCAGTGCTCTTCTTATGTTACCAAGACCTGGAATCAAGGAAGATGTTTGGTTCCTTGAGATTGTTTGACAAAGCTTGAGGAAGTTTCTTTACTCCACTGAACTTAGGGGAGGAGTCCCTTTGTGATGTTTTCTATAAACCTTCTGCTACAGTCCATGAGACTGTTGATATAGCTGTTAGTCGTGATTAGATATTGTATGGTTCTTTCTGAGCTGTACATAGTCTACATGTGGACAAAAATTGGATTGTTGTTTTTTTTAATTTTCCTATAGTTTGCTTAGTTGATTGATTTGAAAATTGTGAACATTTGACTAAATTCTACTTATAAATTCTGTTCTGACTTTTGAAAGAAAAATGTAGAATGACCTCCATATTATGATTTATTCAGTTTTCTTCTACTGCTGCAACCTTTAAAGCTTGTGGCTGCTTCATATTCTTCTGAAACTGCTGGCTTAATTTACACTCCGTTTTAGTTTACCAGGTCTTGGAAAGTATGCTTCTTTTAATGACATTTTAAATTACTTTTAATTTTTTCTCCAAGTTGTTCACACTGAACTGAAACTTCTTGTGAGAGCCAGTGTGGTGTAGTGGTTAAGAGTGATGGATTCTAATCCGATGACCCAGGTTCGATTCCACACTCTTCCCCATGAAGCCAGCTGAATGAAACCTGGGTCAGTCTCAGCTCTTTCAGAGCTCTCTCAGCCCCCCCCCCCATAAGTATAGCTTGCCTACAAAGAGCTAGAACTTCAGGCTGCCAGACAATCTTAGGATCTCTTGGTTTATACCACCTACAATGCCATATGATAATTATTAATTAATTATTATTAAAACTTCTTTTAAGAAAATAAGGTGCTGATTGAAACATATTAAAAGCATGTGCTTTTGGCCTTAGCCAGATTTATTAAGCAGCGAACACAGGGAGCGCAAAAATAGTTTTAACTGCTCTTCAAAACATGTTTGTTTTTCAGCATTCCCAGAGCAAAATTTACAACAGTACTTTGTAACTCCCCACACCTTTAGCAAGTAACCGTGGTTGGAAAGATTGTTCATATCCAATCAATGTAAATACAAATATGAATGCTTTCCTGATGCTCAGAAGGCTGGGGTTTCTTGGATTTCTTGACAGCTAAAAATCTGATACGGCACCACTGAAAACCAACTAATCCTGCTTTAATACAATCTTGGTTATTAGGTCTAGTACAGCCAGTTTGGTGTAGTGGTGTGTGTGGACTCTAATCTGGGAGAACCAGGTTTGATTCCCCACTACTGGAGCTTTAAGAGTACATGTCCTCAGTGGCAGTTGCTAGGAAACCACAACAGTACTTCCTTCCATCCTTGGTTTCTGTCAGTAAAAGGTGGGAGAGAGGGCAGGGCCCTTTCCGGGGCTATTTTGGCCTTTGAGATAGGATTCTATGGGGCTAATCCTGGCAGCAACCATCAGGTGACTTGCTACTGCACGACTTCCATTACTCACCCAGGCCCAGCTGCTCACTACTGTTCAACAGCACCCATCCCACAAAAACAAGTGTGATGTACTGGTTACACTTTTCAACTAGGATCTGGGAGACCCAGCTTCAAATTCCCACTCTGCCATGGAAGCTCACTTGGTAGTCTTGGTCCAGTTATAAATTCTCAGCCTAACGTACCTCATAGGGTTGTAATGATAAAATAGAGGAGTGGAAAATGCTGTAAGCTGCTATAGAAAAAGGTGGGGTATAAATAAATATAGCTGAAGATAAAAGGTAGGTTGGTTGGATAGGGAAGATAAAAGGTAGGTTGGTTGGTGAGCAGGGAGGAAAGAAGGAAGCAGAGACAGTTGAGAATAATGGGGGCCGCCAGGAGTGAAAGAATAAATAGTATGAGGTACTCTCAGCAAGTCCTTGTGAGTTCCCCAACATGTAACTGGGCCTACTCCAACCCAGCAGTTGGAACCTCACAGAGTTTTCCCAGGTGACGCTGCCAGGGGGAAGGAGAGAAAACTGCAGACATGGGCAGATAAAGGTAAAGTAGGTTGGCTGGTGGGTGTTAAGAAAAGAAAGAAGCAGGAAAGGGGGAGAGGCTATGGGAGCTTTCAGAAAAGAGGAAATAGTGGGGGAGAGAAAAATTAGGTTCTCACCCCCCACAAGACATTGTGGGACCCTTGCTTGTGTGTGTGTCTCTGTGTTTTCTAATTTCTCCATCAGTAAATACTGCTGAAAAGAAAAACATGTTGAATGTACCTGAGTTACATTTTGTATAGCCTGGCATATGTAAGGATGGGTTTGGTGTTGAGGCAAGGATAAGCAAGAAGTATAATCCCAATGCTGTTAGAAGCTTTGTTGTGACTTTCTTATGGAAATAGGAAATGTGCATTAACACAACAGGAAGATAGCACACATATGTGCCTGAGGCATGAGCATTTTTTGTGCCAAGTAGTAGAAAATATGCTTCTCTGAACAGGACCTTTGGCGTTCAGGTTTTTCATTGGTATCATGTTAAAAAAAAGTTCATTTTCCAAAGCAAAGTTGTTATGATCTCTGTTATGCTTCTGGTAGCAAAGTCACAACAGACTGTATGAACTCTTTTAAGCTAAGAAATAGAAATAAAGATTTTTTCCCCCCCTGATATTCTTTTTCTGTACTAGTGAACTTCGGAATGTATTGTGTATGTTGAGTTTCTCAGTCTATTGAACACAGGCATGTTCAATAGACTATATACAAATATATGTGCATGTATTTGTACATTATAAATGCGAAGGCAGCTATTTTTCCATCCTGCACAAACTCAAATGTGTGTTTTTTTCCAGGTGACAGCTTCCCAGCTATCAGCATCCAGTAACAAGTGTTCAATCCTGATCCTGGCTGATAGTGAGAATGAAAAGAGCAAATGGGTGGGCGTCCTGAATGAATTACACAGGATTCTAAAGAAGAACAAGCTTAAAGATCGTTCAGTCTATGTTCCTAAAGAGGCCTATGACAGCACCTTGCCCCTAATTAAAACAACACAGGCAGCAGCAATCATAGGTAAATAATTGCTCCGAAAACACTTGATATACTTGTTTGGATTCAAGCATTTCCTTCATTATCTTTTTCTCCTAACTATTGTGTCTCATTACTAGTTTACATTTAGTGAAATCAGTGACAGCAAGGTTTGGCTAAGTTTGATGTCTTCACTGACAATTGCCTTTAAGTCTGTTCACTCAAAGAAACCACTAGCAATATAATGAATTGTAAGTCACAGTACTCTGGCCTTGTACAGTTAATATTCAGGTACATCATTATGACTGAAACTATTGCCCTGGAGTTTTACGACAGAATAGAGAATTTTAAGGAAAGACCTGATGAGAAAGAGTTATATGTACCTCTTCTTTATAAAACAAATCTCTTCATTGCCAAGTTGGTACTTCAGCTAAATGCTCTAAAGAGGTGACCTGAAGAAGTCATAGTGGTTCTGCTAACAGAAAAAAGTTAGATAGTTACAATTGTTATCCCTTAAAAGAAAAATTGATGAGAATGGAAAATTTTGTTTTCTTCCAATCACTGAAATCATACCTCTGTTTTTGTTTTCATTAAATGGTTGTTTCCCTTTTTCAGCATATGTGCAATTAGAAACTATTTTAACTATTACAGATCATGAAAGAATAGCTCTGGGAAATGAAGAAGGATTATTTGTTGTACATGTCACCAAGGATGGTAAGAGAACATGGTTTATGTCTGAAGTGTGGGTAGTTCAAATAAGCAGGACATTTTGTTCAGTTACCTCGCTCTTGTATTGTTTTAAGATTCTAGAGTTTATTTTAATAAATGCTAACTGCGCTGCCTCCCCCAGTGAGCTGAAAAGTCAAGCTGTTCTGTATTCTTTTCATTTACCCAAAAAAAAAAATTCAGTCTGCTTTGTATTGCACTAGCAGATTGCAACCCAGCTTGCTGTCCTGTGCGTGGTTCCATTCAATGCAGCTAACAGGAATAAAAACCTATTTCTAGAAAGTCAAGACTATGGCACTAGGGCACAATAAGTACTTCCTAGGACAGGATGAATGTTTTTGTAGCTGAACATGCCATTTATATACAAAGAATATCTGCTTTTGCTCTCTGCAATAGCGGTAGATATGTAAAACTTCGAGTTCATTTGACACACCTTCTGCTGCTCTTCACCTGAAAAGGCTTTGTAGGAAATGACATAGTTCCTATTCTGAGGGTGCTTACTTTAAAAGGATAAAGAAAGAGAGGAAATAGAACTTAGGTAGCAGAGTGGTGCCTAAATAGGAAAGGCAAAAGAAGTTCTTTGTTTCAGTAGTGGTGACCTCCTGCAAAATGAGAGAGATACTAAAGCAAAATGCAAACAGTTGTTTGTAGTGGGGCTTTGAGACAATGGCTTGGATCTGAAGTAGTGCAAGTGGAGTAGTGCAGAATCTTTCTACTTCTCCTCTCCCACTGCAGCCCACTACCATTACCTAGGGTCAGGGGGAACCCCCCCCCCCCCATGAGCAGTGCTGGCGATGATGACATCTGAAGTGGAAGAGTGGAATCAGTGAAAAAATCTCCCCTTCTGCCAGTGAAAGGGCAATTCCACCCACCCAAAAAAAAAAAGATTTGGGTCCAAGCCATTCTCTAGGTTTCAAGATAAAATAACACTTTATTGGCACGTTGATAGTTTCTCTTCAAAATGTTGTTTAAAGAATTATATGTTGTCCTCCCTTTTATTATTATTATTATTATTATTATTGTGTAAAATAATAATATTGTGTTGTTTTTTTGCAGAGATAATTCGTGTTGGTGACAATAAAAAAGTTCATCAGATTGAGCTCATCCCGAATGAACAACTTATAGCAGTGATCTCAGGACGAAACCGTCACGTACGGCTATTTCCTATGACAGCCCTGGATGGACGAGAGACTGATTTTTATAAACTGGCAGAGACTAAGGGTTGTCAGACTATAGTTTCAGGACAAGTGCGCCACGGAGCCCTTACTTGCTTGTGCGTGGCAATGAAAAGACAAGTCCTCTGCTATGAACTAAATCACAGCAAGACACGTCACAAAAAAATTAAAGAGATCCAAGTGGCTGGGAATGTCCAGTGGATGGCAGTCTTTAGTGAGCGGCTCTGTGTGGGCTACCAGTCAGGATTCTTAAAATACCCTTTGCATGGAGAAGGAAACCTACATAGCTTGCTTCACCCAGATGATCACACATTGTCGTTCATTGCACAACAGCCATCGGATGCCATCTGTGCAGTTGAGATCTCAAATAAAGAATACTTGCTGTGTTTTAGCAGCGTGGGGGTTTATGTGGACTGCCAAGGCCGAAGGTCTAGGCAACAGGAACTAATGTGGCCTGCAACTCCTTCTTCTGCCTGTAAGTTCTCATCAGTGTGTTAATTAAATACAGCTTAATTCCTACTAATAGCTTGCAGAACATCCACAGCATTTTTATAATCACAAACAACACAATGGTGTTTACGTAGATCATTAAGAGGTTGTATGGGACTAGCAACTGATTTTATTTATTTGTTTATTTATTTATCTATCATTAAATTTCTTGCCCGCCCTCCAAGGCAAGCGGGGATACGTATATGTAAATGACACACAGTGTCAGTTCAGATGATCCTCCAAATCATGTTCTAAGGTGGATACTATACATTTGCCAGCTTTGGGTTGCTTTCACATGGCAAGGATTCTCTTTCATAACCACTATGAATGCAGGGGCGTGCATGGCTGGCGGAGTTAGCACACATGGGAGTATTCTATGCACTTTGTTCTTTTTTTCTTCTCACTTCCACACATGCAGAGTGCTTTACATCAACAGATTCATGCACTCCTAGGTGAGTCACCCCTCCTGTTCCCAACCTCGGGCTTAAAACTTTTTTTTAAAGAATCATTAGCTGCCATCAGCTCAGTATTGAAATAGGAAACTGAAGACATCTGAATTTTAAACTCTTTGAGTTAAAACTGAAATTATCAAAAGTAGAACAAAGCAAGTAGAATGGGGGTTCCTGCCTCCCCCTCCCGCTCCAGCCCATTGAGACCCTTGAAAATCTGCTTTTGGGAGTCCTAGACAATGGGAGAGTTGGTTAAGGACTACAGTGGGAGGGGCAAAAAATGGCCCTCCGTCCTCTACCAATTAATGTTCTGCTAGTATAAGTTACAACCAGAAAACTGTAAAACCATACTAATATGACACTATACTAATGAAGACTATTTTTATTTAAAAACCCACTAAGGTGTATTTTTTCCTTTACAGATTTCAATTAACTAATATACAATGTACTATTGCAATTAGAGCGATTCTTTTATATTTATTTATTTATTTATTTATTTTATTTTATTGATTTTTATCCCGCCTTTCCAGCCTAGACTGGCTCAGGGCGGCTTACAACAAAATAAAAGTTCTCATAATACATAAAACACGATTTGTTACATTAATACAATTCCTGATAAATAATAATACAATAATATAAAACAGTGTTAAAATCAAACATAATATTAAAGTGCTAGCAATTGTAGTTCAGTGCTACTTTAGTTCTATTGGTCTGCTTCAGTTGGGGGGGGGGGCTAGGACAGGCAGCAGTCACAGGGACCAGTGGCTCAGGGCTTCCACCATGGTTGTACATTGTATATTAGTCTTCATTAGTCTAGAGTGTCATATTGGTACGGTTTTACACTTTTCTGGTTGTATCTGCTAGTATAAGTGCCATGCTGTTCCACCAGTATAACTAGGGATACTTAAAAATCTGCCAGTTCAGCTTACTTCCCTTTTGCCAGTGGTGATCAGGCAACCAATTAATTGACAGGCTGTTCTGCTGGGAGTTGGCTTCTGATCATCTGGAGGGGAAATTTTGCTCTATATGCAGTGAAGTTTTTGGGGTGAGAGGAATGACTCTCACCCCAAACACCAGTTTAGTATTTTCATGAAAACAAAGCCCAGTATTAAGAGACAAAACTAGGGGTGTGCAAAAAAAATCAGACCCGAAAAATATTGGTCAATGCCAAATTTTCCCTGTCCAATACCAGTAAGGTATTCGGATTGGGGAAATATTCAGTATTGCCGAATATATTCAGGTCTGATTCACACCACCAGAGGGAAAGGAGGCATGTTAAAATGCCTTCTTTCTGTCTGGTAGCCCCTACAGATCTGGTCTATGGGGTCGCAAATAGTCGGACTCGACTGTGCGACTGAACAACAACAAACAGATTTCTGTATCAATTTCACTCCCTGCCAATCAACTGTGAGTGAAATTGACAAGGAAAAGCCTGGGCTGTCTGCCTTCCCTTCTTTAGCTAATATGTCATAGCTGGAGAAGGGCAGGCAGGGAACCCAGGCATGTTTAAAATGCCTTTCTTTCCTTCCCCAGTCTGGGGAAGAAAGAAAGGCATTTTAAACATGCCCCCCCCACTTCCCCAAGTTTCTCCGCAAAAGGTAGGGGACATGTCTGCATGCCTGCCCTTCCTGGGTTCCCTGATCTTGGGGAGGGAAAGAAAGGCATTTAAACCCAACGACTGACTGGCGGCTCAGGCTGTTAGGTTTAACCTTGTTTTCGGTATAACAAAAAGAACTCGGGGGGGGGGGACGGATAATATCAGCTTTTTCGGGTTCCCCGGTAGCCAAATACAGATCTCTGATTTTTTTTCCATTCAGCTATAGCCAAATGCACACCCCTAGGCAAAATCTTGTAGATACATCTGAAGAGTGCTGCAGAGAGGTGGGGGATGAAGGTGCCATTAGATAGAAAAGCCAGTTGCTGTAAAAGGCAATTCAGAAATATACAGGGATTTTTAAAAGCAAGCACAAAACCTATGAAACTGCAAAAAGGGGATAAAAAGGTGGGGAGTGCCAGCATTTCTGCACTATGTTGTGTAAGGTGTATTTCAAAGCAGGATTTAATGCTTGCTTACAGATAGGTTTTTGTCCTCAGTAAGTGCCTAAGCTATACTGTTTCTCCAACGTGGGGACATAGGGGCTGAGCTGCTGAAGAAGTTAAAATGAATAAAAGTGGTCTCAAGTTTAATTATATAGGGTGAATCTAAAGGTGTTCTTCCACTCATGGAAGGACTCCTTCCATAAACAAGGCACTTCTGGATGCAACCTAGAAAATGTCCTTGTGGTTATCTACAGTGGAAGTTTGTCATGAAGTGGCCATCTTCTCTTTAGTAAAATCTGATTAATGCTAAACTCATTTTACCAAGATCTGTACTTGTTCTTCTTCCTAGGTTACAGTGCCCCATACCTCTCAGTATACAGTGAGAATGCAGTTGATATATTTGATGTGAACTCCATGGAGTGGATTCAGACTATCCCCCTCAAGAAGGTAATTGTCTGTTTTAACTATTTGTTGGACTGTATATGTTTATATTTTGTAAGTTGCCATGGGCTTTATGGAAAGGTGGGATATACATTTTAAAATAAATTTTAAATAAAGAATGAAAATTCAACTGTTTGGCTAAGAAATTGACAGCTGTGTGTACATGTCATCAGCATGTCAACAGATTGTAACTGTAGTTTCTGCTTTCCAAAGAACCGAGTCAACACTGGAGAATGTGTTGATTTTTATAGCTAACTGATATAAACACATTTTTGTAGACTCATATTGCATGTCACCTAACTAGATATTAAAAACTGCAGCCATCCTATCAGTTGGCTATTTCATGCACAGCCTGCAACTGTTCTTATTTTCATACACTGCTTTAATCTTTACCATTTATAGTGAACCCTTGTAAAATGTCCTGCTAGCGAATGTTTTTCCAACAAATGTTCGTGAGACAAATGTTCGTATCTGAAGAAGTGAAGAAGTGAGCAGTGACTCATGAAAGCTCATACCCTACCACAAATTTTGTTAGTCTTTAAGGTGCTACTGGACTCTTAAATCTTTTCACTTCCAACATGAGAGTGAAATGGAAATGGGAAACTTTATACTGAATCTTTCCTAGATTAAAAACAGATGTTCCTTATGACACATTCCAAACACAGTAAACTCTTTAGCTTTCCTTCAGAGTTTCACCTTATGAGACACGGTTATCATATGTAGCCTCTTAAAGGATGCTCCTTCTGCATGCTGTGCAATGACCCCTCTGCCCCTCTGACGTTCTCATAACCAGAAACTTTTCTCTCAACCAATATAGTTTCTTCTTTGGGGTTTTGTAAAGAGCTCTGTTTTTTTCATAAAAGTTTCATATTCACATTCATTGGAAGACTGTTGGTATCAATAGTACTGCATTATTTATTAAGAACTCATACTCTCTTAGTTTGTTTTACTAAAACATGTATTATTTGTATGGTTTCAGGTACGGCCTTTAAACACAGACGGATCACTAAACCTCCTGGGACTAGAAACAGTTCGGTTAATATATTTCAAAAACAAGATGGCAGGTAAGAGGATATACTTAGTGGCACCGGTGTATCATATATTCTAATAGCCAACAGAGGGCGCCGTGCGGATACTTAGATTGAGGGAAAGAAAGCTCAGTGGGCCTCAGACTCTTCTCCTACAGACCCAGCATGCTTCCATTATGTGCAGAAAAATCGAAAAAGTGACAAAATCGCTCCAGGGATGACTGAATTCCCCAAAAAACCCTTTGAAATGGGCTCTGCAGGGCTCTGCTTCAGACACCAACGGTGAGAGAGAGGTTAGAACGTTGGGGGGGGGGAGAAGAGGCTTCTAACTGCTCTGTGAGTCAAAGGGTGTGGGGGAAGGGCCCTTTTGCCAGGCCTCCGTTGGCCTTTCAGGGAGGGAGGGAGCCTTGGGGCCAGGCCTGGGGAGTCCCTAGAGGTTTTGAGGTGGGATTGGGTAAGGGAGAGGCCTCAACTGGGTATAATGCCACAGAGTCCACCTTTTAAAACAGTCATTTTCTCCAGGGAGACAGATCTCTGCTGCCTTGAATTCAGTTGTAAGTCTGGGGGGGGGGTGTTCCGTCAGGCCCCACTTAGAGGTTGCCAAGCCTAGGCCTGCCAGCACTTTAGGGTTGCCAGGTCCCCCCCGGCCACCGACAGGGGATTCTGGATAAGGTTGCCAGGTCCAGGCTGGGACACTCCTGGAGATTTGGGGGTGGAGCCTGGGGAGGACAGGGACCTCAGTGGGGTACAATGTCACAGAGTCCACCCTACAAAGCATCCATTTCCTCCATGGGGAGTTATCTCTGTAGTCTGGAAATGAGCAGGAATTACAGGGGATCCCCAGGTCCCACCTGGAGGCTGGCATCCCTCGGCAGCACCCTCTGGGTGACTTGATACCACCTGATTTGCATGACTCAAGTAGGCCCAGCTGCTTGCTACTCTTCATCAGCAGCCACCCTATGAAAGCTGGGTTGTTGTGCAGATAAAAAGTAGGAGAGAATAATGTAAGCTGTTTTGATCCCCACTGTGGAGAAAAACTGTAATTTTCCTAGGTAGAGGCTGTGGGGGAGGGGTGTGGAGATGGAAAGTTGCAGACAGAGAGGCAGATAAAGGTAGGTTGGCTGTTGGGTGGGAAGGAAATTGTGTTGCCAACTCCAGGTTGGGAAATTCCTGGACATTTGTGGGGTGTAGACTGGGGAGGGTGGGATTGGAGGAGGGAAGGAACTACAGATCAGTATAATGCCATAGCTGGAGGAGAAAAAGAAAAGGGGGGGCAGAAGGGAGAAAAAGTGTGAGAGAGGTAGAGGGAGACAGGAGGAAGCAAAGGTGTGAGGAACAGGATAACCATTCCGCAAGTTTCTTGCGGGTCTCCACTTGTAGTATATAAAATGATTATGTGATATAATCCTCTAATTTTGTGGGTCATTTTTAATTGAATCTCTAGTGCTACAGCACGATAAATTGTGGGTGGGCTGGATCCAATCCATTGGTCCTTATGTTGGTCTGGTAACAATTGCAGCTTTTATTTAATCAAGCCTCTAGTTTGTTTATTTATGTATTTATTTATTATTTTCTATTTATAGCCTGCCTTTCCTGCACAGGCAGGCTCAAGGCAGCGTACAACAGTTTAAAATACAATAAAACACAAGTGCATAAGTGCAATACTATAAAAATCACATAACACAATATACATACAAAGTGCAATTAAGTGCAGGTGGCGATTGCTGTATGGTGGTCCAATATAGCTAAACCAGTTTCCATAGTTATTCTTAGTGCCAATAACATAAGGGCCGTAGCAGTTCAGTTTTTAATAGCTCATTCCTCAGTGGCAGCTCCTAATCGAAGGCCTGGTGGAAGAGCTCTGTTTTACAGGCCCTGCAGAACTGTAGAAGGTCCTGCAGGGCCCTGATGTCTTCTGGGAGCTCGTTCCACCAGTGTGGAGCTGCCACTGAGAAGGCCATCGCTCTGGTAGCAGCTAATCTAGGATCTTTTGGGCCAGGGAGAGTCAGGCGATTTTGCGACCCTGACCTCAGTGCTCTTTGGGGAACATATGGGGAAAGGCGGTCCCTCAGGTAGGCAGGCCCCTGACCATATAGGTCTTTAAAGGTCAAAACCAGCATCTTGAAGCGAATCCAGTATGCTATTGGCAGCCAGTGCAATGCCTTCAGCACAGGCCCGATGTGCTCTCGTATAGAGAGACCCATCAACAGCCTTGCTTGCTGCTGCATTTTGCACTAGCTGCAGCTTCCGGATTTGGGACAAGGGCAGCCCCATGTAGAGAGAATTACAGTAGTCCAATCTCGAGGTGACCATAGCATGGATCACCATTGCCAGGTCATTGTATTCGAGGAAGGGAACCAACTGCCTAATCAGCCGTAGATGGTAAAAGGCTGCCTTGGCAGTGGCTGCTACCTGGGCCTCCATTGTTAAGGCGGCCTCCAGGAGCACTCCCAAACTCCTGACCTTCGGCGCTGGCACCAACGGCGCCCCATCGAAGGCCGGTAGTGGGATCCCTACCCCTGACCCGCTCTGACTCAGGCATAGGACCTCCATCTTCATTGGATTCAATTTCAATCGGCTCAGTCTAAGCCAGCCTGCCACGTGCTGAAGCGCCCGATTCAGGTCATCTGGGGTAGAGTCAGACTGACCGCCCAATAACGATATAGCTGGGTGTTGTCTGTGTATTGGTGACACCCTAGCCTGTGCTTCCGGGCCATCTGAGCAAGGGGGCACATGATGTTAAATAATATTGGGTATACCACCACCCTTTGGGGAACCCCGCAAGTCAGCGAGTGCCTCTGGGACGTCTGATCCCCTAGCGCCACCCTAGTTCTCAAGATTAAGGATGAAATTAGGAATGTAGTTGTGGTGCATGCATTAACAGGCAGAGGAACTAGAGTAGCTGGGGGAAAGGAAGGAGTGAAGAGAAGCACACTAAACACATTTCAGTTCCACCCACCCATAGTGTCGAGTACTTCAGCATAGTTGACTTTGAAATCTTCACTCATATGGTTTTGTTAGCATTTATTATAAAATGTTTTGGTTCTGCTTTTATCCCAACCAATAAAATGTATAATTTTAACATTATTGTTTCTCTGCATGTAGACCACTTCTCAGCAAAACCATGCTGAGAGCCAGCATAGTGTAGTGGTTAATCTAGTCTGGAGAACTGGGCTTGATTCCCTATTCCCCACATGAAGCCTGCTGGGTGACCTTGGGCCAATCACAGATCTCTCAGCCCCACCAACCTCATAGGGTTCCTGTTGTGGGGAGAAGAAGGGAAAGGTGATTGTAAGCCACGTTGACACTCCTTAATGTAGAGGAAAGCAGGGTATAAAAAAGGAAAATATAATAAAATCACAAAGCAAGAAGTCAAAACATTATTCTTTTTTTAAAAAAAAAAACAGTAATGAATAAGAACAGACATGTCAAGATCACTCTATGGGTAAAATGGCTAATTATTTTTACACATACACATAAAATCAAAACAGTAATGCTACCTAGAGCAATATATTATTTTACTTTGATGGCAAAGCCCAGTCTTTCTCTCTCTTTTTCAGTATGCTATATATAAAAACATCACAAGTAACATCACTATTGAGACAGGTTTTACAAAACTAACTACGTATCTTATAGTGTTCATAGGAGGAGAGGGAGAGAGAGCGATATTTCTCTGTACAGTGCTTACTGATATACATGCAGAATTAATATTAAAAATATTGCTTCCATTTTATGCATATGTTGTTTCCGCTTTTCACTTTCCAAGTAAGCCACCGAATGCTCCAGAAAACTAGAAATTAAACACAAATGAGAGGAGGAAATACTTGTTTCATGCAAAAATTAGTCTTGCAGCTACAACAGTAAGGAATAAATGGGAACTGGCATATGTTTTGCTGTAAAATGTTTAGGTGTAAAATGTGGCTTCGAAAATGAACTTCTATCACATTTTATCTATAGTAGAAACCTCTTCAAATTCTCAGATATTTAGGCTTCTGGAGAAGTGGGGTTGAGGGGGGAGGAAGGGTAAAACGAAAGATAAATTTTTGCAGAACCACTCATATAGATTCATAAGATCCATTTTGGATATACATGTAAATGTAACACCGTGAATCGTTCCTTAATAGTTTCTGAGCTGAGAGAATCTTCATCATCTAAAAATGATATGGCAGTTAATGGAAAGCAAGGGTGGTAGAATTCTAACCTCTAGTCAACCATGAAGCTTCCCAGGGAATTTTGGCAAATAAAGGCTGCCTTACCAGAGTGAGGAAGCTATTAAAAATAATCCAGGTAAGACTGAAGAGCTGCTAGTTGATATTTTAACCAGACAGGGAATAAGAATCAGCCAGCATTGTATCAGTAAGGGTTGCCAACCTCCATGTGGGGTCTGGAGATCTGTTCCCCTGGAAACTATATTTGCTTCAGATAGTGAACTCTATGGCACATCCTTGCTGACTTGGTAACCCTCTATATAGGGTTACATTCACCCAAAAAGAGCAGCCTTGCAGCTTGGCTCTGCTGTTGGAGAGGGAAGCCTACGTCTTCTCTGTAGCACACAGAGGAATGTTTCCTTGATAGCATGGTTGCCAGCTCCCAGTTTGGAAATACCTGGAGATTTAACTCAGACTACCTTTGCAGCTCTAAACAGCCAGGGATCAGGGCACTTAAACCACCTTCCAGTTAAGTTTATTTACAAGGACCCTGCTTTTTGTGCCCCCACCTTCTGAAGAAATAGGGGTGGTCACAAAAGACTAAGCCTTTTCCGTTCCAGCATCTTGGGTTTGGAACTCCCTCCTTGCAGTTATTTGACTGGTACCAATCTTTTGGTGCCAGATAAAGATTTTCTGTCTCTCTGTTTCTCTTTCTCTTAACCCAAGTATTTTGTGAGTATTTTCCTAGCTGGCCCTGTCTTTTATTATCGATCGTGCTGCTACCACCTTTTTTTCTGCTGCTTGTTTTATTGTAATGCCGATGGGTATATGCTGCTGCATAATGTTCTGTGGCTATTTTAGTTGTTTTATTTATTTCAAATTGGAAAGTGCCTCAGGAATAAATAATAAAAAGTTGATTTGTCCTCCCAAACCGTGTGTCTGTTAGTCTACCAATGTACCGTGACCTTGGGAATCAACTTTCCTGGGACTGGGAGGGACTGCTGGGTGGATGGGGACATGGCAAAGTCCCACATCTGCCAACATCTTCTGCTGACAAATCATTGGGCCCACCCCAACAGAATCTTTTTGAAAGTTAAACCTATTATCTAGTAGAAGGGCATTGATTTCCCTGAGCACAGCTGAGTTCTATCAGATGAGGAATGAAAGTGTTCTTTTCTGTGTTTCCACTGCTGTATCACTCTATACATTCTACAAAGTTCATCTTACATCAATATAAGCAACATTTATTATCAGCAGTAAGTAAGATGAGAGAAGCATAATCCTGGGAATGCACCTGGTAGGTTTATGTTTACCAGACATGGTAAGTGACTGATAGATCTTCCAAAATTTGAAAGCAGCTGGCACAACATCAGGGTGCTCAGCAATGCATGAGCACACTTTTATGTGTTCTACCTTTTAGTCCTGGAATTCAATTATTTGCATGACTGCTTCACAGTGCAGATATGAAGTCCCAGTGGCTCTAAGAAAGCAGTCTCAAAAATCAGTTGCAAGAGTTTCAGCAAGGCTCTATGATGCACAAACTAACTGGAGGAAAAATGAAATAAACAGTACCTGCTAGAGTAGCTTTTTCCTGCTCCTGTCTGCAGTCATAGCATCTTGGCTCAACTTGCCTTTCTGTTATATTTCATGTTGTCAAAAGTCTCCAGGTAGTCCATTTATTTTGCATCATCTACCATATATATGTGCAGCTCATATGCACAATAGAAGTGAGCCCCATAGAATACAGTGAGATATAGGAGATTACATATTAGGTATAAATATGTCTAACACCATACAAACAATTTTTTTTTCATCCAGAGAAAGTGATTTTGAGTGGAGCAGAGACAGAGGAAGGAAGCTTAAGTCTTTTGTTTGTCTACTTTATATTCCTGCCAATGGCTTTCCCTAACATTTTGAACTCTGCAGAGAGGAAATCCATGATGGACTGTGTGATCCGGAGCTGCAAAATAGCAGCTGAGAAAGGGTCAACGTGCCTGTTCCCTGTCACATCACTGCTGAATATCCCCTCTCCCTGAAGATGCTTTTCTTGCTATAAAAGAGCTTTGGGAACCTGTTATACACCTTTCCATGCTGTGTTCCATAGCCCACAATTCCCAAAGAAGAAAGCAAAGGACGGTAGCCAAAGGCTTGGATCCCACCGAAAATCCCCTCCGAAGGGAAGGATATTTTTTTACACATTGCAGTGGGTGGTGACTTTAATATGCAACCTGTTTGGTGTTTTTTATGTTGTTCCCAGAGGGTGATGAGCTGGTAGTTCCCGAGACTTCAGATAATAGCCGGAAGCAAATGGTCCGAAATATCAACAATAAGCGGCGTTACTCATTCAGAGTGCCCGAGGAGGAGAGAATGCAACAGAGGAGGTCGGTATTCAACCTGTACTTATCTTCTGTACATGCCTGTAGGCCCTGAAGACCTGTTTGTCTACTGTCAACGTAGCTTTTCATTTGTGAGAGAAAAGTTGATTTCTGGACCATATGTTCAGATTTTTGTCTCTCCTCCTTTGCGTTTATCCTATATATATAATTTGTATAAATATCAGTTGGAATATTTAAGTCTTTTAAAAATTAAATATTTGTGCAAACTTATTGTATTTTTGGACTGCATGCCTCCATGTACTGTATATATTTATGTTTGTGTGTGTTTGTGTGTGTACATATACTGTATATATTTAAAGACATAATAAAAGTTTTACAAAAGAGGATTACATTGCTAATTACGCATATGGATTACTTTCAGAGTCTAATTCTGATATTTGCGTTTTGGGCAATTCCTGTTCCACTCTCTGTTGTGAACTCCCCTCTTCTGATGCTAATAATTATTTAATTGATTAACCTTGTGCAGCTTTCATGTAGTGGAAGACTCCACTTGAATAGTGGTTATTTAGGGCATATGAAAATATTCATGAAGAATTATGATTTTATGAAAATATTTCAAAGGTTTTGGTCTACCTTTTGATGTATATGGCCATGTGTCCTCTCCACATTAAACATTTGCACATCACTATGGGAAAACACTTGTAAAACTCACATCACCGACCTTTTCACTGATGTAGCTAGATCTTCTCCTTTGCTTCTTGCTCAACTCTCAAAATAGCACCAAACATTTCACGGGTTGCTTTATGCCTTCCTTTTCCCCAAAGTGCTTAGATCTCTTTCACAAATTTACTTTGTAACCTACAGCACATTAGTGCCTTTCTCACAACACAACAAACCTTTATTGGCATAACAACAGCAGCAGCCTTAGGTACAGAGGCGGTAGGCACGCAAAACAGTTAATTCACTACCCCTTCTGCCGAAAAAAATCTCCTCCTCCTATACGCTCTGTAAAGGAAGTTTGCCACCAATGGTATCAGCCCTGTTTGAGGCTAGAAGGTTCATTATCTTACTTTCCTCAGATTTGCCCTCCAAGGTTTGCAGTATAGGGCCGAGGTGATAAGCGCACAAATCCTGGTAAAATCTACAAGTCAGAAGTACATGGTCCGTTCCTTCAATCTCCTAGTGCCTTTCTCTACAAACTCTCAAAATTATTGTGACAGTGAACTGTGAAAGGTCCTGTAATACTCTTCTAATTCTTCTTCTTTTTTCTTCTGTTCTTCATCTCTGCTTCCATCTTTGCAGCGCCAGGTCATCACTGAGCAGTCCGCTTCTGCACCTTTTCTTGAATGTTGTGTCAACTCCCTCTCGTAGTGCACTCTGAGTCTCAGTAACCATTTGGACTTTTATGGGCATGGACTGCTAAGCCTTTAAAAACAAACCTCCATTCTTCCTGACCCTTTCCCCTTTCATCAGGCTGAGATCTGGCATAGAATCAACATCAGAAGTTAAAGTTTCCCTCCCTTGAAACCTGGCCAGATATCTGGCTTATAGATTTATATATTTTATGAAAAGTATATTTCATCTTTAAAGAACTATCTTTATGAACTAAATATCTGACCTTAATATCTTTTCTTGCAGGGAGATGCTCCGAGATCCAGAAATGAGAAATAAATTAATTTCTAATCCAACCAACTTTAACCACATAGCACACATGGGCCCAGGAGATGGCATACAAATCCTCAAAGACCTGCCAATGGTAAGCTTTTGCAAGTGTGTTCCTAAGTGGTTGTGGCTGATATAAAATGGACATTTGAACAAAACAGTGACAGTTGCAGTCAGGTGTAAGCTGACCTTCACAGGCAGGGTCATTAAAATTGTCATTGACACATTTGTATGAGAGATGTAAATCATACAAACATATGAAGCTACCTTTAATACTGCTTATCAGCTGCGAGAGTTGGACTATAAGGAAGGCCGAGCGCCGAAGAATAGATTCTTTTGAACTGTGGTGCTGGAGAAGACTCTTGAGAGTCCCTTGGACTGCAAGAAGATCAAATCAGTCAATCCTAAAAGTAATCAACCCTGACTGTTCCCTGGAAGGCCAGATAATGAAACTGAAGCTCCAATACTTTGGCCACCAAATGAGAAGGGAGCACTCACTGGAGAAGACCCTGATGCTGGGAAAGACTGAAGGTCAAAGAAGACGGGGATGGCAAAGGATGAGATGGTTAGACAGTGTCATAGATGCAAAGAACATGAAGTTGAGCAAACTTCAGAGGACGGCGGAAGACCAGAAGGCCTGGCGTGATCTGGTCCATGGGGTCGCGAAGAGTCGGAGTCAACTGTGCGACTGAACAACAACAAATCAGACCATTGGCTCATCTAATTCAGCAATGTCTACTCTGGCTGGTGATTGCATTCCGTGGTCTTTCTCAGCAACTGCTGTATCATATAATTTAATCTAGAACCTTCTGCATTCCCAAATTTACTACTCATGCAGACTGCACAATTAAATGTAAATGATTATTTAAGTTGCATAAATGAGTAAACCAAAAAAGCAACTGATCTTTCTATTATTTATTTTTTTATTAATTTTGATTTATATCCCGCCTTTCCTGCACTATTAAGGGAATTACTCCACATGTTCACCACATGGTTCTGTATGCGATGCTTCTTGAATTGCTATAGCCATCAGTGGAATGCCTACCCTGGACATGGTGCTTTCAGGTTGCTTAATGGGCATAGAATTCCTTGTTCTTTCTCTTCTTGAGCCACTTGTAGTTGACTGGATGGAATTCTTAATTAATTAATTAATTAATTAATTTAGACTTATACCCCGCCCTCCCAGCCAAGGCCGGCTCAGGGCGGCTTACTCTTATCAGCTGTTTGGACCCCACCCCCTAGTTCTTTTCTTTCTTTTCTGGAGAGATCTATTGTAAAACAAATCCCTCATATTTCCTTCTAGCCCATTTGAGCTAGGCTAGGAGAAATGAGAGGAGAGGATCTCCACAGCTGCTAGGAAATAGTTTGTTGTGTTCTCATTTAAGCTATAGCATTCTACTGAATGTGCAGCCCAATTTTTAACCATATAGAGGCTTACCATTTTCCATCTATTTTCTAGCATGATGGCATCATGGAGTCTAATTAAGAGTTTGTCCTGTTATACTAAATTTCAGCTCCTGCCATATCTGGGCTTGGAAGAATATACGTAAATTGACATAAGTCATATTGTGCTGCTTTTATTGTGTTGAAAAGTAATATGCAAATCAGGCATCGTTCTAATCAAGCAAGGGGTAAAAACCCTATTCTCTCATTTGTAAGAATCTAATAGCTTTATTATAAGAGTTCTTGGAAGGCCAGGTTCATTAAAGTTTATTTGATTGGGGGGAAATTATATCAGTTTCATCAGGATATATAAATACATCATGGCTGCATATGAAATAGTATACAGAAATATTATTGTGAATTTAAAAAGAATAGTTTACTGAAAAACTGTAAGCTGTCAGAATTGGACTTTTGACATGAGATAGATCCTATATCCTCTGTGCTGGGTGAATATGATCTTAAGCTACCATGTGGGCAGTTTTCTTCTTCCTTGCATGGCAAGGAGCCCAATACAGAGGGAAGATGAAATTATCCTCTCCTTGACCTCATACAGCATGTAAAGAGTCTGGCTTGTGATGGAAATGCAATGTGATTTCTTCTACCATATTCTTGTTTATGAATATGATATTCTAATTCATTTTGTTGAAAGAAATAACAGTGAAAAAGATGAGATTTTAAGAAACAGCAAGATCTTACCTAAATACCATCAATCATGAAGTTATGCAAAATTGGTAGCTTCCCATGTTAAAAGTATAATAGCGCTTTAACAAAGTATTTAGAAATTTAGGACCAGTACTTAAGTAAAATGTATCAGGAGGCCTGTATCTCTCCAGAACACTTAAAATTTTTTTATCTGAATTGGTTGTCACTTTTTTGTTGTTGTTGTTGTCATTGTTTTTTAAGTATGGAATATTTTTGCACTTCAGTACATTATGGACTGGGATTAAAAAACACTCCAGAAGTCAAAAGTAGTATATTTCTAGGATTGTTGTTTGGGGGGGGGGGGGTTTTTTACCCCAGGTGATTTTTGGTTTACAGAAAGAAAACTAAGTAGCTATACTTTAGGGACATTATTTACAAGTATGGAAATGATGGTGTCCTGAGGGGAATAATTTGTTGAGCGATTTTTCTGTGCATTCTACGAAAACAAAGCCTGAAGTTGTCTTCAGGGCTATAAACTTTGAATGCTTCATTTCCTTACAATACAATGAATGGGACATTCCTAGGGGAATTCATTTGCTAATAAATGAATGGGAAATTTCTATGGTTGCCAACTCGGAGTTAGGCAGTTCCTGGAGAGTTGTGGGTGGAGCCTGGGGAGGGTGAGATTTTGGAACCTTTGCAGGGTATAATAATGCCACAGAGCCCACTATCCAAATCAGCCGGTTTGTCCGGAGGAACAGATCTCTGTCATCTGGAGATCAGTTGTAATTCTAGGAGAACTCCAGGCCCCAGCTAAAGTCTGGCAGCCCTTGAAATTCTCCTTGCTCTGTCCTCTGCAGAATTAGACCATCTTTGCTTGTTGCTTAATGAGGAGGATCGGGAGTGAGGTATCTTGGGTTTTATTTTCACCTACTTCCATTTTATTACAACCGTCTCCCTGCCACAGAAAAATTGCCTCTTCTGCTGTACCATATAAGTATAATTTTATAGCAGAATTAATTATAAGTGCCTACTGAGGAGGCTCCCTTGCAGTCATCAAAGCAGGTGGGAATGTTGCCTCTGGGAAAAATTGGTGATCCATATTAGCAAGAGGTGACTGTGGAAACTGCTCTTCATTTGTCAGTTTAGTTTTTTATAAAATGTTCATGTTGAATATATTCCATCTGCTTCTTCATTACGAATAATATGGGAGATTGTTTTTTCTAGGGCAGTTATAAAAGCATGTCTTGCATTAAGAAAGAAATGGCATTTAACTGCCTTGTCTTTTACCACTAGATGGGGTAAGCTACAAAGAGTAAACATTTATCAGACTACACGTTGAATTGATGTAATTTTTTAAATTCCATGAATGAGGTTTAAAATACATGTATGTTAAATTACGGAAACATTTATTAGTATGCAAAAGCAGATTAAAACTGCAGTTTTTAAACACAAAATGTAAAGGACCACAATCTGCAATCTCTATTTAGAAAAGTTGAGCATTATTTTGACAGTTCATGGAGTTAAATTTTAAAACTTACACTTTTTTGGTAAGTCACATACCATTATTTGTGTGCCACTGTAATGGAATTTCCTACTATGTGTTCTCACACTTCTATGTATTCCTCACTGAAATCAACAAGATGTGTTCAGATTTGCACAGTGGATACAATATGTATTTTCCAAATGATTAGATTAATTGAGTTTGGCAGTCGAACAACTAGATTCAATTCCAGTAGCACCTTAGAGACCAACAAGATTTTTGGAGCTTTGATTCTCAAAAGCTTATCTCCCCCCAAAATCTTGTTGGTCTCTAAGATGCTACTGGACTCTAATCTCGCTGTTCTACTGCAGACCAACACAGTGGCCCTCTGAAACTGAGTTTGGCAGTGACTTCCTTTCAGGGATTGGGCTTCTACCCATAATAGGAAGGTGATAGTGGAGCTTATGATGTGGTACCCATTGGTGAAATGCAATATAGCTGGAAGTTCTCAGTCTTGGGGGAAACTATCTGAATTTTTTCATCTTCCAGTAACAGTTCTGTATACAAAATCACACTTGGCAGAGAGAAGTGCACATATGTTCATAGTTTACATTTATTTCTTTTGTTGACCTACTAAACTAGGCCCTCAGTACTTCCAGTCTCATTCTAAATGCCTTCACAGTCTGGAGGCTGAAATGTACCCTTCCTTTGTGAAAAACAGTGAACATAAATGCCTGCACTTCTACTGACATTTTAGTGAATTTAGTTTATTTTGCTGAGGCTGTTGATCCTGAAGATCATCTTGTCCAGTCTGCTTTGAGAGAAGGCTCTCTGTCCTGACTTGCAATTTTGGGTGAGAACTATATTAATTGTGGCATTGAAAAAAATCAAATCAGCCAGATGTACGTTCAGGATACTAATTCATCTTTACTCACCCTCTCTCCTTCATACTTGAACCCTTCCCAAAGACCTGCCGTAATTCATCATTACTAAAAAGTTCACATGCCCAGAAATACTGGAATTCCTCAAAAAGTATTGTGTATATGTATGGCAAGTGTATGGAGCAAATGGGAGACAACAGAATTATTAGTTACAGGCACAACCTGCATTCGCGAAGGTTACATTAGGTCTTTAGTGTGTTAATTATCTACTAAATTTAACGATCTACTAAAATTGATTCATTTAATGTCAACTGTTTACTAGATGGTTATATAGACAAAAATTACAATGATCACTGTCCGTTGGGTATACACACCTAGGACACTGTTCTAAGGGGACTAGATTTATAGGGTGAACAAGCCTGATCTTTGATTCCCTAAGATGAGCGAGGGTAATTGATGGAACATACAAACAAAACCAGCCCTATCTGAACTGCCCATCATAGCAGATCTTTTTCAGGCAACTTTTTTCTTTCATTGGGCTATAAGCGGGTCAGTTTTCTTTGTCGCTCTGATCCAGAGAAAAAGTGGAATGACAGGACAGTTTGACAAAGGTGTAACAAGGAAGAAAAGAAGAGAAGAATCAGC